GATACAAGTATGAAGATGTTTCCAATGCACCTGAAAAATAGTTGTGAGAATGATGTAAGCACAATTTTGTAAAGACTGAATATATCTACCCTCAATTAGAGGTGAGCATTGTTTGTTAAAAAAAAAAAAACCAACTGAAAGTTCAGTTTTGGTTTTCAGATTTAAAAAATTAGTTAACCGAATTTATATATAATTTACAGTAGGATTTGATTACAATAGCAAGAAAACTTACATCCAAACAACTGGTATCATAAAAAAAAGGTGACCAATGAAATGGTATTCATCACAATTGAAGGGGTGTTTTGATTAGTTAAAGCATTTTTTGATATATATTAATATTATATTACATAAAATTTTGTTTTAACTGAAATAACAAAAAATTCAAACAAATTTTGTTTTTTCAGTTTTCAGTTTGGTTTTGATTTTAAGCATTTTGGTCTATTCAATCCAACTTTTAACTGAATAAATCAATAAATCGAATAGTCACCCCTATAGAACTGAATCAATTATTAATCGAGACAATTGGGCCTAATCCTATTATACTTGATATATAAGAATGACAGTAAATAGTAGGCTATTTATGAATAATTTTAGCCAAAATTTTTTTATATACTGTCTATAAAATCTATCCTTTTGATATAAAATATAACAAAACTTAAAAAAAAAAAGATATCTCTGTATATTATTAACCACCTAATCGGTTCGGGCCTTAATTGGTTTGAAACAGCAAAAACCCAATTATAATTCGGACACAAATGACAGACACAGAACCATTGACAGCTCTGTTGCTACGAAAATGGACTACACTCAAATATTTATATATTAACGCGAACGATGCTTCGATGTTGTTCCATATAATCGTACAAATAGTCACATGGAAACCAATTCCAAACTATGTTTCCATTATTCAAAAAACAGAATTAATAAGAGAATTACTTGAATTAATGAATAGTTTGTGTTTGTGTATTAGTTGACTCAATTTTAATTAAATTCCTCCTTTGCTACTTTTTTTTGGTCTCTCTATTTAATAAATAAACCCAAGTAATGGGGGGTTATGTGCTTTTGATTTCTCTTTCTTCCACTATAGAAAAGAAAAGCTTCGATTCTCTGGGGCCCTCGCCCCTCTGCTACGTGCAACTTCTCTAAGTGGCGAAGCAAGGTCGGAGAAAGAGAGAGATGGAAACTGAATATCTCCAAAAGCTTCTTTTGGGAGGGTTTGTACGCCAAACACGTCCAAGGTTCTTGTGGCTCCTGTTTAGACACGTATCTCATCCACATGAATCGGATTTTGGGGCCCATCTAAACAACTTATTCCCAGCCGATCATCATCATCTGATCAACTGAACATGGCTCTGATCGTATATATCATACATATTTCCCATTTTCGCCTCAGGTGGAGGTGGGTCCCCATCAATGCGTCATGCAGCCTAGATCTCTAGATTATTCGCGATGTCATCCCTCCACTTCTGGCCTCTGGCTCTGGGCAAGTGCCTGCCATGAGCGTCAACTAAAGTAAGAAACGCAGAGAGAAGTGACTCGCTACGTCTGTCTATAGGAGGAAATCTCACGCTACACTCATCGGAACCGTTTATCAGACGTGGTTCGATGATGAACTTAAGATCGTGACCATCAAATCAAAATAGGTCCAGATTCCAGGCAATAAATGGAACGGGTTTTTTCTAGGCGAGTCGTGTCGTAAAAGCATCAAAGAGCGACCCCCATCGAGAATCTTACACGTGCAGTTTAAGTAATAGAAACTACGGACATCGTATTCATCTAACCTAAAAGGGTCAGCCTGGTCATTTTACCAGATCCAAGAAGCCAAGAAGTCGGAATTTTTATGAAAAGACGAAAGCATCCTTCTTCTCTTCGAAAAGTCTCTCCGGTCACAAATCACAACAACTCAGAAGTCGCAGGTCGCAACAAAGTGGGTGGTGGCACACTCGGGCATTAGTCGGCCGAGCGTGTGGAGCCGTACGGCCACCGGTGACGGGTGGAGGTGTTGTTTTTTCAAATATCCTGTAGAATTGTGTTTTACAAGTGCGTCCATGTAATTTATCGAATTTGTATAAAACTCCTAGTGTTTTCAAGCCCTTCCGGCTTGGACCACCATATCTAATGTCAACACCGTTAGAAGTTATTTTGATTATCATTTGGCTCTCTTAAAATTATAAGTAACATATATAATCACTTACTATGAACCCAACGATGAATGATGGATTAGAATATAAATTGAATGGAGACAAAATTACACACTAGGTTGGGAACCAATCACGATCAAACGCATCAATGCTTCATACACATAAGTTGTGAGTCTCACATGGCCCAGGTGTTTGGAGCAAATGTGTTTACTCGTAATTTGTTGTCTCCACAATCTCTAAAGAATTAAATTTGCATTATCATCAATTTATCATCATCACTATCATCGTCATCATCATAACTATATTTCACCATTATATGTTGATTATCATTTGACTCTCCTATAAATGACATCTACAATAACTTACCATGAACCAAAAATGGACCACATTCATCGATTCGACATCACAGTCACCACCATCATCACACCACCATTTAAGTCTTGTTTCAAGTTTCAACCATTGTTAAATTATTAAAACCTCCGATAATGGGTGAAAGTGGTAGATCATTCATTTTCTGCCACGTGGGCACCCAAAGCCACATTGACACTTAACGTGGCAATATTTTAAAAAATATCCGTTAGTAGGACGGCTAATGCCGACCAGATGCACCCAAGCTTAGTTGAAGACAACTCGGGAGGACCGATTTGAGACATCGGTCATCATCTCGAAGCATTTATGCAGCCCAGGCGTCTAACGCGCTATCCGACCTACGTGATTCACTTGCCTTGTTACATTCAAGCCATTTAATGGTAAACAGTGAGTGGTCGACTTAGTGACTGTTCCCAAGTGTTCTCTAAGATCCCGATAGTTGAGGCCTGTTACCTTCAAGTATGTCGGAGACATTCTAGCAGTTAAGGATTAAAATATCGACATGATACAGAGGCGTATCGAACCCGAGTTTAAAAAAAGTGCTTCACTAGAAGGAGGGATTTAACACGATTCAATCCTTTAAACCTAGGTCGCCTAGTATCCAGGAATTCAAGGATCTTAACCATTAAGCCACTTTCTATTTCATGATAATAAGTGAAATAAATTATCTTTTATTGAAATTAATTCTTACATTTAATCTAAACAAATAATATATTCAATAACTCCATGTATAAATTAAAAAGAACAATATTCAAAATTACTATTTTATAAACCAATAAAATAAATAATTTATCAAATCCACACATATATATAAATGATTTTTAATTTCAATAAATTTATACAAATAAAAATATTATTAATATACCATTAAAATATACAATTCCTATATATTTATATATTATTTATAGTTATTTTGACATTAAACTTGGAGTTATTAATATAATTATTGAATTTGTATGCATTTCCTCAGGGCATCCAATCATTTTCATATTTTTCATTCGTATCTATGCSTTTCTCAAGCGTATACGTATCCATAACCAAGTTGTTTGATACAATACCCGATATCRATACTTTAATCCTTAATGGCTACTTCCAGAGGCCTATATAAGGGCAACTCCTTGCCCTCAAACGGTATGCTCTCATAAGCCTTCTAGTTCTTATTCTACTCCTCTCAACTCGGTACTAACTTGATCGCCATAGCCTCCATGTCTGCATCCACAACCCGGGCTCTCTGATGCCTGTCTTCTGCACAAGTTCAAGACATTCCACATCGGACTCACCACTCCAGTAGGGACCGGTGCAAATCGAGCAACATAAAAAACTATGTGCTAATAAAAAATAAGTCATGGTGAAAATGATATACCTTTGTTTTATTTGATTTATGGTGTCTATTAATTTGTAGTGTAATTTTATTTGCCTGATGTAAATTAAAATTATGCAAGTACAAATAAAAAAAATGGAAAATTGGGTTTACTTTTAATTCAAAATTTGCTTTACTTCATCTAGAATGAAAAAAAAAAAGTAAAACCCAACTAGTAGTTTATTCCCCCACGATCACCTTCTAAACGAGTACTGTTTTTATCCTCTACAATTCTTTAAGTCCTCTCTATTTGGACTTTGTTGCAACAATAATCTTAATGATGATGGTATTTTCAATAATAAACAGAATGGCTGCAATTCGGTTGGATTAAGCTACATCCAAATCCAATTGGATAAACGAAAAAATACTGAATTTATTAATTACAATACAAACTTTATATAATTATGATATTATAATTACAGTTATATACTATATACATTATAATTTTCAATTGAAGTTCCAAAACCCAAATAGATTCAATTATATAATGGACTTACAAATTCTAAATAATCGAATTAGGTGTCTTAACTTTCCAAATTCCGTTAGCAGCCCTAAATTGACAAAATACCCTTTTTTAGGGTTGAATATGTAATTTATGGAAACAACGGGGACCAATAAGAAATGTGCAAAATTCAACTATACGGACCACGGACGGTATGGATGACGAAAACTGGTAGGAATTATTTTTGTACATAAAGGGGGAATGATAACATACGTCGGCAGTAAAAGTAAAAAGTGAAAGGAGAATAATCCAACCGTATAAGAAATCAAGATAATATGACAGAGTAGGTTGGATGCTCGAGGGTCGAGGGAGCTGACAACCAACCGACAGGAAAGGATGGAAACTAATTAGCACAGATCTTTCGAAAAGCATCGGGCACAAACTACGAGGACTTCACTGTTCCAGTAACCCTATCCAACGGCTCAAGTCTGCTGGCGTAACTGTCACCTACGGTGCAAATTAGTCAGACTTCCTCCCTCCGCAGAGCGCCTCCACATGCAGTGAAGTAATGGAACAGATGAAATTACTAACAACCCCCAGCAGCATCATCAAACGAAAAGGGTATTTCAGTCACTTTCACTTGGTTTCTATCACTGCACGCGAGTATATAATGCGCCTGTTCTACTCACCCTCAACTTTCTCTGCTAAGAACACCATACCGGGGACAGAAGCGGAGAGAGTGATAGTTTGAGAGAGACGTGGTGGTCGGAAATCGAGCTTACGCCCCCCGGTGCGTCGGACGTAGGCCAAAAAGCTTTCGTATAGTCTCTGCCTTTCTGCCTTTTCTTCCACTGTTTCAAGTGTTTGGTTTCTTCTTGGCCCGTCTTCTGATCTGGTCTGAATTTTTCAATAGTCTTTTGTCCCCGTCTGTGGCTCAGGTTGTCTGACTTACCCACCTGAAAACTTGAAGGAGCTTAGAAATATTGTTCCCGTGATGGGATTTGGTATTTGTCCATTGGAGACCCCGACAAGGTTATTGTGGAGTACTAGCTTCTTTCGTCACAAGATCATGATCTTCTGAGAATTAAAAAAGTAAGCTTAGAGACCAGAATTGTCGGGGGTTGTGGGGTTTGCTTTTCGCCGGAAAAATATTGACGGGGGAGGATTCTCCGACGATCTGACACACCTGTAGATACGAACAGTCTTCTTTTCTTTAATGGATTCCGGCCGTCTCTTCTTCGATACCTCCAGCCATGGGAACATGTTACTCCTCGGGAACGCAAATCCCCTTTTTCGAGGTAATCCATCGTTTGTTCCCTTCTCGCTATTTACTGTGTTCCGTTCTTACTTACTTACTGCCATTCGTACTGCTTCAGTCCATGAGCAAAAGCCTTTTTCTTCTCGTTTATCTTGACGTGGATAAAGATTGAATTTTGGACGTTCATATATTAGCAACGCGGACTGTGTTGTTTTCTGTGTATCAAATTGGAATCTTTCCTTTTATTGAAGATCTCTGTCGCTAAATTGCGTTTCCTCGTCTAAATTTTCACGAATTCTTATTTGTTGTTATTTGACCTTTTGTTAGCTTCAGGATCTGCTTTTTAATTTTTATCATCAGTTGTTTTTGTTAATCAATACTTAAATTTTAGTGTCAATTTGGTTTCTGCTTATCATACTTCTGCAACAATTTTAGCATTTAAACATAAATAAATTAAGAAGGCTATGTTACTTGATTTTAATATCTGCAGCTGATCTTGAGAAATTTATTTAAATTTACCGATTTTCTGTTGTGATAAACAAATTACAGGGATGAGATCGGTGCTGAACATGGAGGAAAACCCAAAGAGGCGCCCCTTTTTCACCTTGGCAGACGATCTGATAGATGAAGAGTTTTACGACGAACAGTTGCCGGAAAAGAAACGCCGGCTCACTCCAGAGCAGGTTAGTGACTTTCCTAGCTGGTTCATGCTCGTAAGTCGTATCTTCAACGTATCTTAACACCAAAATTCTTCAAGATATGGCATATTCACTAGCAATGCATCAAATCTCACTGCACTGTTATCAGCATCTGTCCCTCCTTTTTTCTTTCAAAACATCAGAGAGTGTGAATGGATACTCTTATCTAATTAAATGAACTAAATTGTTCCAACCCTGTTGAAAATTCCTGCTTTTATCGAAAGAGAAAAATTTCTCAAAAAAAAAAAAAAAAACCCCACTGATCCGGATCCCTCAAGGCTCAGTCTTAATGAACTTTGTTTAATTAAGAATTGATTATTCTGGGTACTTATATAATTGGCGGGGTCTTATCTCTTATGACTAGGTTAACCTCTTGGAGAAGAGCTTCGAGGCGGAAAACAAGCTGGAGCCGGAGCGAAAGACCCAGCTCGCCAAGAAGCTTGGTCTACAGCCGAGGCAGGTCGCCGTTTGGTTCCAGAACAGACGAGCTCGCTGGAAGACTAAGCAACTCGAGAGGGATTACGATGTCCTCAAATCTTCTTACGACTCTCTCCTCTCGGAGTACGATTCCATCGTCAAGGAGAATGAAAATCTCAAATCCGAGGTAAGCTGTAAGAAGCATGTCCCCTTCAACTTTAATTAATTGCAAATCTTATGCTTATCAGAAACTTCTTAATCTTCTAAATTTGGCATACTAATGAAGGAAAAAACAAGAAAAATTAAAATGGGTTTAACTTAAATAACGTAGTTATCGTTTTCTTTTCTGAATTCTAATTCCTATTGGTTTGGGCCCCCGGGGGAGAGGGTGGTGGTGGCCTCCGTTTGTATTGTAGCTCACTAGCTTTTCTCCTTAGTGGGGAAATTTGTAGAAAATAGAATCTGTTCTTCAAAGAGAAAATAACTGTCTTAAAGTTGATTGACGAATATACCACCATACTTTTTCTCGAAATGACGTCCAGAATCTTTCTTCTGAAGACGATAAATTTCACTTCAGTCAAGGGTAATCTAGTAATTCTGATCGACGTGTKGTTGCCCTTGCATGGTCTCGTGGTGGTGGGCGCAGGTGGTTTCCTTAACAGATAAGCTGCAGGCTAAGGAAGCTGCCGAGGGAACTATGATGGTGGGGCAGAAGGCCGATCCTCCACTTCCAGTTACTGCCGACGGTGAAGCGGTGGTCCTTGTAACAGTGAAGGTGGAGGACCGGCTAAGCTCCGGCAGTGGCAGTGGGGGGAGCGCAGTGGTGGACGAGGATGGTCTACAGCTCGTGGACAGCGGGGATTCGTATTTCCCGGCAGACGACGACTACCGCGGTTGTATGGGCCCGGTCGATGGCATGCAGTCGGAGGAAGACGACGGTAGCGACGACAACCAGAGCTACTTCTCGGACGTCTTGGCGGCTGCTGAACAGCAACACCACGAGGCGGGCGAGGCCTTGAGCTGGTGGGTCTGGTCTTGAAGTCTTCTTCTACAATTCCCCAAATGGACAGAGCAACCTTAATACATGGTTTTTTATTTTGTGTTTTGTGTAGTACTAGCTAGTTGTTTCTATGTGTAATCTCTCGTATTCTCTCCCCCTTGGCTTGTTGCTTATTTAGAAGACAAAAAAGATGAAAAAAAACTCGATCTCTCTCTCCGCAAATTCATAGCTGTACAACTGGTAATGGGGGCGGAAGCAAGCAATAACCACTGTTTAACCTCCGCTTCTTGGGGATATTAATTAGCTTAATTTGGGTATGAATATGATATTGATTTGGTCAAACAAATTGAATACCAAATCATCTATGTAGTAGCTTAGCTAGCCTTGGCAATGGCAATAGTGTACTTTTCTTCTTGTTACTGTTTATTCAATCAATGTTCGACTGTTCATGGTATCTCCCGGTCCCGGCCGGCGATCATCTATGAATGAATGAAATCTTCCTTTTAAAGCAAGGCAAGTACTTAATCCTCCCATCACTTGGCAACTGAACTAGCTAGCACAGAAATTAAGACTGACTGCTCATATTAGACAACTGAACTGCTCATATATATATATATATATATATGACTGACTACTCTTATTATATATGGGTCGATATATATGGAATTAATGTCGGTGGACTGACGAGTATTAATTTCTGATATAATTATATATGAACACTTAATTAATTACTAATTACTAATTACTATTTACTAATGGGTCGTAGAGGTTGGCTTCTTCTCGAGTCTCCGCCGAATCAAGGCTTGTGATGGTGCGTAATGATCGAGAGAGAATTGATTTGAGTAGTGATGGAGATGGGTTTGACGTAAGAGACAGCCAGCTGGGTGGATTGCGGGGTTGTAGTTGTAGGAAGTAGGAGTGTGTAGGACCATATTCCCTGTACAGAGAGAGAGAGAGCTGAGAGCAGATGTACACACATTTTCAGGTTGTATAGATTTGGTGGGAAGGATGGTCATATCTCTTTCACAAAACCCTCCCATTTTATTCCAATAGCAAACAAATCAACGTCTACTCGACTAGTCCCACCTCCTTTTCTCCACCTCCCCACTCCTTGCCAATGCCAACCACCACCCTGGTAGGGTATCAAATAGGAATAGGACATTAGGACCTCTCTCTCTCTCTCTCTCACAAGACCATTTGCTTCTTGGATTATATAAATAAGCAGTCTCTCTCAAAAGACTACTATTTGCCTCTGGGTTGATATAAATAAGTAGTGGTCCATAATAGATAAAAGGTTACACAGTACTACAAAAAGGCAGAGACATGTTTGCATGTCAAATAACATCATCATCCACCCGAGCAATTGCTAAGAGACGTCATTCCTACATACATTAATAAATAAAAATCGATGCTTCATTAATTTCTAGACTTTTTCAACTTCTTTTTTCTGTTTATCTATACGATTGACTTTCATATATACATGCATTATATATCACTCATCAATTAGATATACTGGTTTTCTATATAATTAAATATTTTTCTCACTTACTGGTTTTCTATGAATGTTCTCTCATACAGGGCACCTAAATTTAACTTCTATTTTTCAAGTTGAGCAACTACCAACTACCAATATTGGCCAAAACTATTCTACTGGAATTCATTCCAGGTTCTACGTACATGGCTATACACAATAAGAAGGTATTAAGGCCCCATTTGGTTCATGAGAATAGACGTCTACAATTAGAATCAGAGTGGCCATTCCTATTYTAATTGACTGTTTGGTTGGGCAGAATTAAAATTCTATTTTCATTCTTGGTGAAATGGTATTCTCCTATTTAAAGGAATAGCCAATTTTTATTCTGATTCTTGTCAGAACCAAACAAGGACTATGAGAATAGATTATTCTGATTCCGATTCTGGCTGGTTCTGACTGTAAACCAAATAAACCATAAAGCAATTAAATCAATTTGCAGAGTTAAATGGATCCAGCTGCAAGGAAAACCGGATTATTTAATTTTGAATTTAATTCTTAACAAGCAAGCATGGGAGCTTGAGAGGCCAAATTTTCAATTGAGCAAGCATAAAGCATCACATATCCTCCCTCCCATGTGATGCAGCTCAACACCTACGCCACAGTTTTTGGTTCACAAATGAAGAAAAAAAAAAAAAAAGAATATCAACAACTTACAATAGCATAAATCGGAATCTCTTCTTTTTCTTCCATGTTTGTTTAACCTCTTTTTTCTTCATCAAAATTCCATTCTAACATGATAAATGTCTAATAAGTTTACACGGTCCCCCTCCTTTGAATTGTATTGTAGGCCTCAAACCTCTTTTCTTAACCTGCCTCTTTTGAATCTATCAACACTCACTCTGCGACCAYCGAAATTGACGAATCCTGACCATTCATTCACCAACGTTCGGATTGGGATTATACCAAAATCTTAAACATTTCGGTGTAGTGTAATTACGCCAGGGACATCCAACGGTTGTCTATTTAATTTTTTTTTTTAGCCCACCACAACAAGATAAGATAAAAATAGATGATAATAATGATGGTGACGTAATGACCAAGGCTTCCTACACTGGCTCGATCGATTAGACTTCTTATCCGACGTCTCCGAAGTCCAAATATTCTGCCACGTGGATCAATGATGTGTCAACGAGGTAGATGACAAAGTTTACCTCCTCGGTCCAAGTGAACCATATAGAAGCGCAGATTTGCTGCAAACAAAAACTCTGCTCACGGTGCACAAAAATTGAGAACTAAAAGGATCAGTTCGGGAAAAGCGAAATGCCGAATTTGCCCTTTACTAATGTTCAAATTTTCAGAACGAAATGCCAAATTTGCTCCGTCTGTCTCCATCTCCGTAACATCAGCAAATGATCTGATGCCGCTTCCAACAATTGCATATGCTAAGCATAGACAGCCGCAGCAGGTGACGAGGACAAGTTCGAGCGGTTGGCACTGGTCCGGTTCAGTTACTGCGATCTGGTAATTTTAGTGATTTAATGCAGCTTAGTACAAGCTGAATTTTCAGGTGCAGGAATGCAGGGAGGATCAACGGGCATCGGTTATGGTCTCAAATACCAGGCCAGATGCATTGTAGATGTCAAAGGCAGATATAAATCACAACCAGCTCCATTTGACCCGACTTTGCGAGGGTTTGTTTTCTCATCCTAACGAAACGAGATCTGGGATCTCTCCTCTTGCCGCTACAATCTCCGAAACTTCTCCATCGTTTTCTCGTCATATGAAGCAGCTGTTTCCAAATCTTTGGTGGCATCTGGAAGGAGTGATGAGTTGATTGGCATTGATGAAAGAAATATTTTCTGGAGATTGGATTCTGCAAAAGGTACAATTTCAGGAAACTGTTGATATACTGCATTCCTACTCTGGTGGAGCATGGGATCCGCATGATCAGAATGCAGTTCCAACAACATGTGATTCATCAATCCAGTTTTGGGACACAAAGGATGATGAAGAAGACGAGTTCAACTGAGCATGCACATGCTCGCAATGTGGATTATGACACCAAAAAGCAGAACAGAACATTATTGTCACTGCAGGGGATGAATTTGGAATACATATTTGGGATGGAGTTGAACAGGTTTAATCACAGGATTCAGAGTCCCATTGTTAGAAGTGATGGATGTGGTAGCCATGTGATCAGAGGTTCCACTATCCAGAATCCATACTTCTGAATCAATGATCCAAGTAGGTGAAGTGGATGACTTACCAGCAAAGTTGGCAAATGAAATGCTGGTATTGTTCCCTTGTTAATCCAGCAATCAGAGATCCATCTGCAGCACTTACATTTTGGATGGCAGCCTTCCCATTTGATCTGTCCAATCCATGATCTTGACCGGTTGGTCATCAAGATTTTGTTATCACGATTTGGAGGATAACCGACCATCTCATAGCACCGGTCTTTAGTGTGACCGATTTTCTTGCAATGGTCGCAATAGTATCATGACCAATCTTTTGTGTTCTTTGTATTAGATTTCTATGAACTGGTTACCTAAAATGCTGTTGCATCAGATGTTGGAGATCGTCCATCGGCTAGGTTTGGTGTCTTTCATCTTGGAGTACTAAAGCATAGACTTTTCATATGTTTGGTAATGGTTCCATTCCCAAAATGTTGTATCGGACATTACTAAATCTATCATCAAGTCCCATAAGGAACTGGTATACTCGCTCGCGTTCTCGCTCAACGAGGAACTCTTTTGAAAATTTACACGTACATAGGCCACAGATGCAATCGGGAATACTGACATAGATAGCAAGCTCGTCCCATAGGCTCTTCATTTTTGTGAAGTGCACGGTGACAAAAAGATTGTACTGTTTAAGAGAGTTCAGGTGAAAGATTCGAGGAGCATTGCTCTGAGAATACCTTTTGTCTTCAAGATCTTTCCATATGTCCCTTGCACTATCGATGTAGGCCACACTATCGTGTAGATCGCGCACTGGGGCAATGTAAATCCATGAGATTACAAAAGAGTTGCAGCGTTTCCAGGCTCATTGCTCCATTGGTTTGCTCGAGTCAGGCTTTTCAATTGATCCATCTACAAAACCGACTTTGACTTGGCCCATAGAGCATACAACATTGCTTTGCGCCAAGTTGCATAATTATCGCCATTGGGAGGAGACGAGTGATGGAAGGGTGGTTGTAGAATCGGTGAAGTCTTATCTCCTACGGAGGTGAAGGCAATCTTATGGTGGGGGAAGCTGGTAAACCCACCCTGTTTTATGAATTGTTAAGATATAGTAACTTCCATCTTCTACTGCTTTCGTTCTGTATTCCTTGGTCCAAGCTTAGTGCTGCTGCCCAGGACCCGCCATTGCAGTAGTTCTTCCAGAGGAATCGGCAGGAGAAAATATGCTGCCACTGCTCCTGAACCTGGGTGGCCTCAAAGCATACAACTGCCGAAATGGACCTACGACTTGATAGAAGAGAGACCGTCGAAATGGAGATTTTTCACCTTTCAATGCCACGCCTCTGCATATGCTTCATCAGCCTGAGTGTCGAACCAGACAAAAACCATCACCTCTCCTGCCTTGGATGGAAAGAGAGAGAGAGAGTAGAAGAGGAAGACGGAGTAGATTTAGGCAATTTGTTAGAAAGGATCTTTTAGCAAATTTTGGAAAACATATCAGTCATGTGATGTTATATGTGGCAGAAAGTTTAGTACTCAGAAGGTTTTAGACAATTGTAACACAATTTGGGAGTACTTTTAAGACAATACGTAAACAGTAAGGATAGAATTAGTCAATTAACTAAACCATTTAATAAATTTGTCTATTATCTATATCTATATAAAAACCAGAGAATTGAATCATTAAATGATTGATTCAGTTCGGTTGTGGTTCAATAAATCTAAAAAAAATCAAAGGACAGGTTCAGTTTGAAAAATTTCTCTACAGTTAGTAAATAACTGCAGAATACTTCTTTTTATCCCCATCAATGCCATATCAGTAAAGGTGTTGAGGCTTTTCTTCTCAACGCAGAAAACGTTGAATTGATGTTTATTGAAACAACCCCTAACATGGATACATAGAGATATATCGATACTTTGATGCCAAATGGATCAATTGGTAAGGYCTTTGACTGTCATAGTGGATGCTTGGAATAAAATCCTGTTTTCAATTGGTCCAATCTGATCCAGTCCAATGTGAGTCCATTATAAATGGACCAGGTTTAATCCAATTCAATAAATATTTTGGACCATTTTGGACCGATCAATCCAGCCCAATTCAATGTCTGAACTATCTAATCTGTTCAAATTTGTTTTTATTTAGATTGATTTCAATTCAAACCTGGTCCATTGACACATATATTCTTATCTTATCCACATATTGTCTTAATCCAATCCAATCCAATATAAATTTATTACGAATGGACCAGCTCCAATCCAATCTAATAAATATTTTGAACTGGCTTGGTTCAATCCAATATGTCTTGTTAGCCCATCTAATCCATCCAAATTGACTTTGAACTGGAAGGAATCCAACTCAAAATCCTACATATAAGATTTCCCTTCCCTCAAATTTTTTTTTTTTTGAAGGATGTATTAAACTAAACCAAAATAACAAAGTCCGAACTGCCCTTCACTCAATTGCAGTTCGGACTGGACTTCCCAACGAGTGCTCTACCTTTTGAGCAGTGTATTGGTATGGGTGGCAGATAAGTGATCCAATCATCCAGACAAAGCCAGTCAATCTATTTGGTCTATGTAATGCATATAGACCATTAGATTGGAATATTACGTTAGGTTTTATCAATAAATCCAGCTACATCCACAATCCACATCCAATTTGTTGGACTTGGATTTAATCTGCACCGATTTTATTGTGCTTAAAATGACAAAAATTAAAAAGTACCAAAAAACAAATTACTTTTTATCTTAGACAATAAATGTATATAAATATAAAATATTCAATCTATATTTAATAGCTAGATGGACTTCACCTTCGAGTGGAGAATATGAATGTGGATGGAGAATCAAATAATAGACAATTGCTGAAGTCCACCAAAAAAAGGGGCAAGAAATTAGAAAAGAAATAGAACTCTTGCTGTTAGGGTAAATAGTGGACGGAAAAATCAATTAGAACTAGAAGAGGTATGTGAAAGAAGCAAGGTAAGTTCCAAACAATAAGCAGAATTTACTTAACCAATTGAACCTGCAAGCCTTTTTGCTGGCAACAAATGCAGGAACAGGATGATGCATAATAGCTGCCACCACCAATTTTCATTCTTGGGGAAAACACTACTCGTCAGGGACATATAAAGCGGAGAAAAGAGCATGAACAAAAACAAGAGGTGAGAAGAAAGCATATATAAAGAATGAAACATATTAATTACATTTGCTAATCTTCATTTTTCTTTTCCTTTTTTTTTATACACTGGTTCCCTTTGTATGTGGATGTTGATCTGGCTCTTAGGGGGGTGGTCTCATCATCCTCCCTCGGAATAATACGTCCCAATTACTGCTGTTGCAGTTCATTCAAAATGCTTCTTCAAACCTCCATAGAAGCCCACTTCAACGAATTCTTCCTGATCCAACATCCATGTTAGTGTGTTAGCCTGTTAGGAACGCTTTATATGTACAAAAAGGAGGCAACAGTGTGAGTAACTTTCCCCAAATTTCTATCTTTATCCTCAATGACCCTTGGACCCACAAACCACAATGAAGTTGGAAGTTTCCTTCACATTGTACAAGGTCGTCCTGCTGCCACCTCACATTGCCACAGAGGATTATATTAGATTTGGTTCGAGTCCTCAGATAACAAGACATGCATGCTTTTCTTGCCTGGTTTGTTGTTTGGCTTTGGATTGTCTATTGGATCCAAAGTGGGTAGAACCTTCTGATAAACAATGGTGGAGTCCAGTGTGTATATTCGAAGAGCAAGGGAGGTAACAGTAGGGCTCTTGGCTGCAGCAGATAGGGATGACCAATACCACCAATCATTCTTCAAGTACTCTGTCTTAATCATGTCCTCGAATATGATAGTTGCTTGAACCATCTGCAAGAATAAATCAATATTTTGTTCAAACTTCATTCAACTCTTGAGAAACTAAGAAGAGAAGAAAAATGAATAACAAATAATTGTCCAATGGGTCTCACCTAGCACATACATAGTGATAAGTAAACCTGGAAAATCACATTCTATGGATGATAAGATGTAAGTGGTAAATGGTGTGCAAGAGAAGCTTGGATTCTTGCATCCATCAACTCAATTGAGTTGATGCACGATCYAKCTGTGTCCCTAGGGTGGACCCACTGAATGTCATGCCCCGTCTACATGAATGTGAGCCATGTCTGACCACGTTACATGTATGGATGTACTGAGGTGGATTCCATCTCGAATACTACCCTCATATATAAATATTGCTATGCATACATACATTTTAGTCATCATTTCTCGTCAACACCAACTACTTTTCTTAGTAAATGTGCAGACAGAGTAACAGAGTAACGTTGGATGGATAGGCCATTTTAGTTACAGATCAAAATTTGAAAATAGCAAATATGTATATAAAATCTGATGAGCAATTTAAATTCCAGTTGCATAATAAATGATGGAATACCAAATAAAGGAAAGAATTCAATTTACCTCAAATATGGACTCTGCAGACTTAACATATGCACGCCAGGCACATCTCAGGAACCATGCAGCAGTGACCAACCTCCAGGTCTGCAGTTCTATTATCTAAACA